AGCGACTGGATATTCTATCCAGTGGTGGGAGTATTTTTTTAAAACTACCATTCAGCCAAATTGAGGACTATTGGTTGATCAGATGAAATTCCGATTTTAGCCACCTCAGCCAAATTGAGGACTATTGGTTGATCAGATGAAATTCCGATTTTAGCCACCTCAGCCAAATTGAGGACTATTGGTTGATCAGATGAAATTCCGATTTTAGCCACCTCAGCCAAATTGAGGACTATTGGTTGATCAGATGAAATTCCGATTTTAGCCACCTCATGCCAGAATCTTGGGGAACCATCCTGCACAAGCCTGAACATGAGACAAAGTTACTAATATACAGTTGTTTTTTAACCCCTTAAGGACACGACATGTCTGACATGCCACGATTCCCTTTTATTCCAGAGGTTTGGTCCTTAAGGGGTTAAACAAGTTTTATTGTTAACTGTTTGGAGAAAGAAAATCATATATTATTTTATTTTTCAGTCCAGCGTGTGATGTGCAAGTGTGTTAGCACTGTGCAGTGTTTCTTAATGTTAAACACAATGTTACAGTAATCCATCAAGCTCCACCCCATGTGTGTATTTACACATACACAATCATTCGTATACCTGATTTATTATAATAAGAAAAACAAACCCACCATCATCAATGTCATGTACTAATCTGAAAAAAATGAAGAGAGGGTAGTGTAAAGGGTCTTGTTCCCCAATCCTTAATCAGCAGTAGTGCCATAGCTTCTTAGAGGTTCAACACCTCGCCCTTGAGGACTGCTGATATCACATGCTCCATTGCCTTCACCACCACTACTACTCATAGTATTCAGCCGGAGGATAGTGAGATTAGCAGAATGTTCATTATGCCTGAGCCAACACCCAGGAGGTATTTGTTTATCATCCTTTTTAAGCTGCAACAACTTGTGCTGCTGCTTCCACTGACATTTGAGTGGTTCTTTTACAGCTATTTCAAGCATTATATATTCTTGGCATACCCCCCAAAAAATATAATATTTT